TTCCAATGGAGTACAAGCTCTGATGGAGCTTTCTACAAAGCCAGGAAGGCATTAAGCACTGGTCTACTGATAAGTTATGTGCTAGTCTTCCAGGATCAGACTTGCTAAGGGCCAAGAAGTCTGGCTGCCAAATTTTCTTTTGGTATTGATACAGTAAGTCTGAAAGGGTTTTAATCCACATTGGTGGGAGGATTTTGTCTCCTTCCAGGTAACTGCAAGCTCCTTGAGGGCAGGGACTTTTTGCCCTTTTTTGTATCCCCAGAGGTTAGCACAGTGCCTGGAACATAGTAGGTATTTAATAAATGATTGAGTACTCACATTTATGAGATCAAAGATCTTTGGACCTGGCTCATCACAGTAAGTCCTTTAATAAATGTTTTTTGGTAGATGGAATGATTGAAGGTTGATAAAATGAACAGAATCGATCATACCATAGTCTAGGTTACTTTTCTGTCTCCAAAGAAGCATTATTGTTTCTTATTGGTACTTGAAATTGTCTTGTTTTCCATTATTGAAATCTGGACTTGATCTCTGGGGAGTACTCTGGGAAACTTTGCCCTAATACCATGGAGAAAATCGAACTTTATTTAGTGGCACTTTGACCTTGTGTCCAATAATCAATATAGTCCTAGAGGAGGAGTGAGAGCAAGGTACTGTGGTCTTCCAGGTTATGTCAATCCTGCTCTTCCACCTCTTGGTGGATACAAATTGTTGGACCTCATCCTTCTCCACCTTTCCCTCCTCTAATCTCCTCCCTTTTCCTATTATCTTCATTAATCAATCAATCAAGCATTTGCTAATTGATTACTGTGTGCTGGGACCTAGATATATAAGTACAAAGAATGAAACAAACCCTACTTGAAAGGAGTTTGCAATCTAATGGAGTGGCAGGGGCAACAAGTACATATAAAAATACACACAGCATTAAAAATAAAGTTAATAAATACATACATACACAATACAGTAGTAAAATACAAGACCATCAGGGAGAGAAAGACAAGGAGCTTAGGAAAGGCTTCATGCAGAAGATGGTTTCTGAATTGCATCTTAAAGGCTAGTCTGAAGCAGTAGATTACCATGGTGACATGAATCAAAATAGGTGGAGAAGCTCTTTGGTCAGGATTATGAAAAAGGAAAACCTTTCTTTTTCTCCAGCTGCAAGCCGTAGGTTAGAATCAGCATCAGGAATAAGGTCAAGAATAAGGTTAGGATTAGGCACTAGATTTTTCAATTTAAAAAAAAAAAAGAGAATCTAATCTGGAGTTGACATGATTAAATAATTTATTATGAAATTTGGAGTTGGAAGTGACCTTCCTTCAAGGTCTCTAGCACAACCTCCTTAATATGCCAATGAGAAAATCAGGGCCCAGAGAGGTGAAGAAATAGATTTGTGCAAAATGGGGAATGGTAGCATTGGGATTCAAAACTAGGTCTCCTCTTACACCAAAGCTCTTTCAGCTATACCACATTGCCTTTGCAAGTTTTGTCTTTGGGAAGATATTAGTTCACCTGGAAGACCAATTATGAAAAACTACAACCACTCTTCTTCCTCATCTATCTCGGCATCCTTCTTATGGGACTGAGTTCCTTGTTAGGGCCATCTGGTTTAATGGAAGCCAGGTGAATCATCCTGGCATATTGTAATGACACATATATGAAGCCTAGTGAGTCATCTGTCACAAAAGGTAGAAAACAGAAGTCTTAGCTACTTACTCACAGTGGATATAGATTTCCAGAATTCTAGGTTATGGCTATTATTATGTAGAATTTTACCCTAAATACCATAGATCCATATTCCTTCAACATAATGTAGCTCTCCTAATTTCTAACCTACTGCTTCACCCTTTGAAGTTAACTGATTAGTTCAGAAGGCCCTGGCCCTATTGTTGAACTGTCATCTCTATGACGGATTATTCTGAGGATTGCTCTGTATGATAACTAGCATTTATATGACATTTTATTTTAGTCTTGATGTTCACTTGGAATATTGGTTATCAAACTTTTTTATTTTTATTTTGCTCATCCCATAATATTCTTTGCCATGAGGAATATTGGCACCTTGAATGTTTAACTTGACAAGAAAAGAAGAGTTGTTGGGTAGTTGGATTTCTAGACCTATTTCCTGAACCATGAGATTTTTCTGCTTCGCCTTCCTTTCCTCCTAAATTTCCCCTCCTCCTCCTCTCCTTTTTTTCCCTCAGAATTAATAGTGAAAATTGAAGATTTGTACCTTTCTCTTTCTTTTAATTTCATTTTTAAGGTTTGTAACATGCTTTACATATATTAGGTAGATGCTATTATCTCGATTTTACAGATAAGGAGACTGAGGTAATAAGAGATAAAGTGACTTGCTCAGTCACACAATTATTAGTAAGTGTGTGAGATAGTATTCAAATATAGATCTTCCTGACTCCAAGTCCAAAGGATAAAACCAAAGGAAATGGGTTTGAATGAGAAAAACTTACATAAAAAAAGAAAAAAAAAAAGCCCACTATTTGGAAGTGAGAGTAAATAAGTGTAGGGATAGTACTAAGAGATATTCAGGCATTACCATCACTAGATATATGATGAATAAAATCAGCAACTATTTATATTCAATTCAACAAGGGTTTATTGAGGGAATACTATGTTCCAGGCACTGTGCTAGGTGGCTGGAGATACAGAGACAAAAGTGAAATAGTTCTTGCCCTCAAGAAGCTGACCTTCTACTAGGGAAGGCAGCTTGGCTAGGGAGACACAACACGTGCAGAGATCAGTAAACCCAAAGTACATGCCAAATTAAATACAAAGGAATCACCATGGAGAGAACACTGACAAATGGGAGAATCAGGAAAGACCTATTTTAGGAGGTGGCATTGGAACCGAGTCTTGAAGGGAATGAGGTATTCTGAGAGATTGTGGTGAGGCAGGAGTTCTGGCATGGGGGACAAACAGCCTGTGCAAAGGTAGGAGGTGGGAAATAGAACAGAGAAAAGGCCAGTTTGGATGGACTGCAGCATGCCTAAGATGAAATGTCATGTATGGGGATACAGCAAGTAGAATAATGAGGATGGAAAAGGGGGATGATGGGTAATCAGCTGGAAAAGACAGATTTTAGAGCTAGAAATGGCCTTAGAAATCTTCTAATCCAACACTTTTACTTTACATATGAGGAAACTGAGGCCCCAGAAAATTAAATGACTTGCCTAAGGTTGCATAGACATAAGAGGTATCAGAGGCATTCTTTGAACCCAGATCTTCTGACTCTACACTTAGTCCTCTTACCCCTGTGGCTGGAACCAGATTATAAAGGGTTTTTAATGCCAAAAATAGGAGTTTATATTTTATCCCAGAGACAACAGGGAGCTATTTGTGTTTACTGAGTAGGGAAGTGATGGAGTCAAACCTTTACTTTAGGAATATCAAGTATGTAGGATGGATTAGAGAGGGGAGAGATTGGATATAGAGAAAACTATTAGGAGGATATTGCAATAGGTTAGGAGAGATGAAGTGGTCCTAAACAGGTAAGGCATGCTTTTATGTATAGGCAAATATCTGTACTGGAATGACCACTTAGTGAAATGACCTTTTGATGCCTCCTAGAATCTTGTAAAAGCCTTGTTTAGAGTGTTGTGGCCTTGCTAAAGGCCACATATAATTCAATCCAACAATCATTTATTAAATGCCTGGTGCGGGCAACCAATGCTATGGGTTTAGTTACACAAAGAGAAAAAAACAAAAAGCAGTGACCTGCCCTCAAGGAGCTGACATTCTACTGGTAAGCAGAGCAGTAAAGGTGTGAAAGAAACCTCAAAATTAACCACTAAGCCAAAAAAAATGTAATAAAAGCAAAATGTCATCAATGTTTATCAGCTTAGTCTCAGGGTCAAGTTGGAGATGAGAATAGAAAAAGTGCAAAAAGATGGAGTTTTTTTCTTATCGCAATGACTCCAATTTCCAACTCTAGGTCAGAGAATGCTTAAATCTAATGACAGCAACTCTGTGAATTTGTTATTAAAATTATTTTTTTAACTAAATCTGTGATTTTATTGGAGTATGGATTTTTTTTTAAGGCTATTGGGGTTAAGTGACTTGCCCAGGGTCACACAGCTAATAAGTGTCAAGTGTTTGGTCTGAGGTCGGATTTGAACTCAGGTCCTCCTGACTTCAGGGCCAGTACTTTATCCACTGTGCCACCTAGCTGCCCTTGGAGTGTGGAATTCTTGATGAGGAAATTCTCTCTACCCATGAAGATTGGCAAGCACTGCAATTTGTGGTGATGATTACCCAAGGTCACACAGTAGGCCAGCTCTCTACCAACTAGGACCAACTAGGACTCTACCAACTATGAGTTTAAGAAGGGATAAAAAGAGATTCTCTCTTACCTATCCCAGACTCTATAGGAAGTGACTTCTTAGGACGTGACCTTCTGTGGATGACACCTAAGGACTGCTGTTCTGAAGTATCAGAGAGATTGTCTGAGGAGCCCCTGTCCCTTGTGCTCAAGGGACACGTGCTTCCTTGGTGTAATAAAGGGAAAAGTGGCTGGTGTGTAATTAATGACAAGAATATATTGGGATTGACTAATTTTGTGGGTCTGTTCTCTGTGATAGGCAGTTTGATCTGTATTAACAAATGTTATTTATTATCAATGTAAATAAATGGCATTTTGCCTACGCCTTTTGACTGTGAAGCAAGAACCCTGTCCCAAGATTTTAGTGCTGTAATAACACCCCAATTCATTACATATTTTTCATACTTTTCCTCTGAGGTTACCTTCTGTTTACTCAATATGTGTCTTGCATGTAAATAGTTACTTGCATAGTCTTCTCCATTAGAATATGAGTTCCTTGAGGGCAAGGACCATGTTTTTGCATTTCTTTGAATTCCCAGCACTTAGGATAGTGCCTGGCAAATAGCATGCATGTTGATACTGCTTAACCAATGTGTAATCAATCTGTAATCCCATACTGAGGATGATGACTTTGAGGTTTCACAGAATAGACATCAAAAATTCCTACCTCACACCAGTCCACTGGTGCATCCGGATTGTTGCTGAGTTTCCTGTAAAAGCTTTTCACATCTTGGCTCTTTATTTCCGGACCAAATAATTCCAATACTGACTCATAGAACTTTTCATAATCAATAGTGTCTGCATTGAAACAAAGAATTACAGGTACATTGTTACCAAATGCTGAAGACCCTATTGCTTAAGTTCATAGAATTACAGTTAGAAAGAATATCAAGAACCATTGAGTTCAATTCCCTTATTTGCATATGAGGAACTGAGGCTCAGAGAGCTTAAGTGACTTGTGAAGGGCCACACACCTAATAAAGGATCAGAAGTGGAATTTCAACCCAGGCCTTTCTAACTCCTACATCAATCCTGTATTTACTATACCACATTGTTTACTTCAACATGTACCACTCTGATCATCTTAATACTTTATTTCAATGTGTAAGAAGCAGATTATTCTGCTTTAAAAAATTCTGTCCTTTTGGACCTGACTAGGTATTAGAATATTCCAAAGTAGGATCGAAAATGTTCCTATTAAATGTCCTAGTACCACCACCATGGCTCCTCACTCAACTAAAATAGGAAGGAATTTTTTTCCCCTTGTATATGACGCCCCAAAAGGAAACATCAGATTTGGTTATCACTTTTTTGATGTGAATGATCTTACCTATTGGTAGCACACTACCTGCTGTAGTGGTCTATAAGGATTCATTTAGAGTGATTTCTTTATTAGGATGAATTTCTTTTATATCATGTAACCACACAAGATCTGCTATAACTTGAAACTCTCTGCTGCCAAACTTAGCTTATTAGTCTGAATTCCATTTATTGCTAAGTGAAAGAATGGGTCAGACATGGATTTTCAAAACCCCAACAGATTTTTTTGTTGTTGTTGAGTTAATTCAGTTGTGTTTTACTCTCTATAATCCCATTTATGGTTTTTTTGGCAAAGACCTTGGAGTCGTTTGACATTTCCTTCTCCAGCTCATTTTACAGATGAGGAAACTGAGGTAATCAGGGTTAAGTGACTTGCCCAGGGTCACACAGCTAGTAAGTGTCTGAGGCAGTATTTGAACTAGGGTCCTCTTGAATTCAGGCCCAGAACTCTTATCCACTGCACTACCCTAGCTGTCCTATGCATAACAGATTAAACCAGGTCAGTGAATAAACCTAGTAGTATGAGAGGCACTTATATTTCATACTTACTAAAAAATTGTTGATACAAATAAGGATGAGATTTTTTTATATCTGAGATGATATTTCTAGGCTACTGTTTGAGTCACTGACAAGAAGACTAAAAGGTATTGAATCCAAGACCAACCTTTGTAGATAACTTATGAGTAACCTCAGACTAATTCATTTTTAAAAATTACTTTCCAAGTGTCATCTTGATTTTTATCATAGTATTAGATTGCGATTAATATTGTAGAACCAATTATTAAAGGACTGGTTTGTAAGCATTTATAAAGAGAATTACTATTAGTCAGCATGAGTTCATTGAGATAAAATCATCCTAGACAGGCATCTTTGTCCTTTTGGTAACAGAATCACTAGATTGTAGGTCATAGAATGCCTTAGACCAGAGATCCACGACCCATGTGCCACGGACTTCAGGGCGTACTTGAAGTGTTGAAAGAGGTCTTCAAATCCAAATATGAATCCACAGATAATCAAACATAACTCCTACAATCTGAAATAATATGTATTAAATATATATGCATTACTACTTTCAAAAAAAATTACTTTCCAGAGTCAGCCTGATATAGTGGGTAGAGTCAGGAAGACCTTCATCTAATTCCTGCCTCTGACACTTACTAGCTGCATGAATATAGGATAAAAGTCACTTGAGCACTCTGAACCTCACTGTGAAAATGAGAATGATGATAATTAATACTACCACTACTTGCAGCACTTACCTCACAGGACTTTTTATAAGACCTAAATGAAATAACATAGGTAAAGTCCTTTGCAAACTTTACAATGCTACATATAATTATCAGTTATTGCTCAGATGTGGCTGTACATTTGGAAGTTTATTGATGCGTAGACTATACACAACAGATTCAGGAGCCTCGTTAAAGTCAAGGTATGTTACATTTATCATTTCCCCTAAAGCTTTCTCAAGTTCTGTCATTTTGTCACAGCAAGAGATTAATTTAGCAGTATTCAATCTTTCCTCAGCAAGTTAGTTACTAACCAGTATCCCATTTGTTTTCAAAGAATTTATAAAACTACAGAAGACAAGAAATCTGTAATGTGACTCTCAGAGTTCAATTTGTTCTGAAACGGTGTTACAGAATCATCACATTTGCTCAACCCACTCATTTTAACAGATGAGGAAACTGAGGCCCAGAGGTCACATAGTATGTACTACAACTAGCCAAATATAATCTTTCCATTAAGCCATTTGTCCTCAATGTTAGGTGTCAACACATTAGGAAGGCAAGTATTTTTACTGGTAGGCAGCTACAATATAGCCAAAATATACCCACAGAAGCACAATAGACTGTGGTTAAGCATGCTATTAGCCCTTAGATGTTCATTGGGAACTTCTCACCCAGTAATATTTCCACTAATCACTTTTAATTTCTGCATTTGTCACCACTACCTTTGATCTTATGATGCTGCCAGTAGCTTTATACATAGGTTTTCCTTATATATCCAGTTATACTATGTGATATGGTGGGAGGGAGGGTGTGGGGAGCAATTAAGTGGCATAGTGGATAGAGTTCTAGGCCTGAAGTCAGGAAGGCTTATCTTCCTGTGTTCAAATCTAGCCTGAGACACTTATTGTCTATGTGACCCTGGGCAAGTCATTTAACCCTATTTGCCTCAGTTCCTCATCTGTAAAAAGAACTGGAGAAAGAAATGACAAACCTCTCCCGTATCTTTGCCAAGAAAGCTCCAAAATGGGGTCATGGAGAATTGGACATGACTGAAATGACTGACCAACATGTGATACTAGGGCACTTTAACCTTTCCATCATGAACCCTGCAGGATTGGGGCAGGGGAGCATACATTCCAACCAACCACCTGATCTAGCCCAACTCGTATGTGAAAGGAATCTCCACTATAACAAACCAAACAAGTGATCATCCATCCTTCATTTGAACACCTCCAAGGAGGAAGAAGCTCCCCCCTCTGGAGGTGTTCATTCCACTTTTCAATACCTCTGATTGTTAAGAAGTTTTTCCTTACTTTTAGCCTAAATTGGTCTCTTGGTAACTTTCACCAATGTTTCTCCTGATCCTGCCCTCTGGGACTAATCCCCTCTCCATGTAATAGCCCTGCTTGAACACATATAGCATCATTTCATGCACATTCCCCTAAGTATTCTCTTCCCCAGGTTAAATATTCCTAATTCCTTCCTCTTATAGAGAACCTGAAAGCCCTTGACCTAACATGTCACACATTCATCCTTCACGGTCTCAGTGGCCCTCCTCTGGACTCCCTCTCAACTTATCAATACCCTTTTTAACCATGGAGCCTAGAACTGAACACAGTATTTCAGGTGAAGCTTGATAAGAACAGTGAGAACTTGATAAGAACAGATAAGAACTTCTTATTCCAGGAATCTATACCTTTCTTAATACATCCCATCAAAAATTGAATTTGCTTTTTTTAGGTCTTCATATCACCCTGCTAATACTTATTGAGCTGTCATTCCAGACTTTTTTTTTTTTAAAAGCAGAACCTCTGCCTGTCCATGCCTCCCCCAGCTGGTATGTATGAAATTGATTTTTGGTACCCAAGTGCAAGACCTTACATTTGTCCTTGTTGAATTTCATTTTATTAGTACTTAGCTTACCCTCCTGAACTCCTATTTAGCAAATAATTCATTCAGAATACAACAATAACTGATACTTGCACGGCTCTTTAAAGTTTGCAAAGCACTTTACATGCCTCATTCTAATCCAGTCATCACAACAACTATGTGAATTAGTGTACTACAGATATCATCCTCATTTTACACAAGTAAGTTGAAGAAAGTAATCAACTGGCCTGAGGTCCTACAGTTAATGACATTGGAAGAATTTGAACCCAAACCTTGTTGACTACAAATTTAGCATTCTCTCCCTGATACCATTCCGCTACACATACCCAAACACTACCTAACAAAAGTTAGGTCTCATGTAAAGTAGAAATTCCTGTTGTTGTTGAGCTGTATCAGTTGTGTCCAACTCTTCCTGATCCCATTTGGGATTTTCTTGGCAAAGATCCTAGAGTGGTTTACCATTTCCTTCTCTAGCCCATTTTGCAGATGAGGAACTGAGGCAGGCAGAGGTTAAGTGACTTGCCCAAGGTCACACGGTAATAAGTGTCCAAGGCTGGATTTGAACTCAGGGAGATGAATCTTCCTCACTCCAGGCCCATCACTCTATCCACTGGGCCACCTGGCTGCACAATGCATTAAAGTTAAAGATATGGATTTCAACTGGTCACCTTCAGCAAGGAAAATCAGCCTGAGTGTACTTAGTTTACTACTTATAGCGATATTAGAGGGTTCACGAAAGGAAAGGTGATGAGTGACAAGGCTGTCATTATATTAACTATGTTCTTGAGTCTAACCCTAACCTCAGAACAGAATAGCATGAACTTGATTGAAAAATATCTCACCCATTTCCGATTTTTTCCCCATAGAAGAATTTGAAAAGAAATATTGTAACCTCAAACATTGACATATAGCAGGCCACTGGGACTCTCACTGCTCCTAATTTCTATATAGTTTGGTCAGCCTGATTTTTTTGGATTCTTTGGGAGGTCTCAACATTTCTGACCTTACCTTCATTTTTGACATATAAGCCTAGTCTTTCTTCTTTTTTCTGGATCACTGTTGTTTCCACTAACTTCCCAAATTTCTTCAAGGCATCTGTGAAATTGTTAAATTCATTTGTAACGCTAACATGCTTGTCTTCAGAGATCTCCATAGGGACAAAGGGGTATCTTTATTTCTGGATGGAAATGATGACACTAATCTGATGACCTAAAAATCCTTCCCGTTGTAATGGTGTTCCCCCAAAGTCTCAGTTTTTGCTCTAATGTTCATTCCTTTGATCTTAAAATCCCATGCTGTAGAATGGTAACAAGATGTGCTGCTAGGATGTTAGCAGGAAAGATGACTTTGGATTAACAAGCCCTGCATCCTGGCTATCCCTTCAGGGAAAGCCCTGACCTCATAATATTTCCTCAATACTCTCCATAAGGTCCCTATTACATCATAATGTGTGCTGGTTTCTTCATTTAAATACTAGAAAGACATTACTGAGATTTCTCTTCCTATGTGTATATTGAGTGGGAGGGGGATGAATATTAAGTAAAGAGTGGGTGAGGGAATACACTTAAATGCTGTGATTTCAGACATTATACATATATTTCCTCTCCTGTCATAGCTTCCTGACCCTCCGTTCTTCTTCCTGCTTCAAGTTGCTATGGAGAGTATGCTTGATACTTTTTCTTGAAGCTGCACTGGATGGAATAAATTGAGTTGTAGACTATTTGCTGAAGATAAAAGCAAATTTTTAGTAGCGTTGGTTCATCCTGCAAGTAAGAAGCAACGCAGAGCAGTGGAAAGAATGTTTTATTTGGAGGCAGAGGAACTGAGTTCACGTAAGTCCAGGGTCTGCTAATTACCTGTGTGACTTCACCTCTCTGGGCCTCAGCTTACCCATCTGTGCACATTAGGAATTGGACCAGATAAACTCTAAGGTCTCTTTAAGCTCTAATACTATGACCCAAATATTTTCTTAGTTGTCGTTGTGATTCTTAGAAATGTAAAGATCTGACCTTCCTGTATTTATTTTCTTAAGCAAACCTGTGATTTTATCAGGTGCTCAGTCTACCATTGCAGACCAGTACCTGCTCTGCAACCAAGTCTTAGAGAGTTGCCTAGGGTGAGGTTAAGTGACTTGGGTGGGGTTGGGGTGGGGAGACATGAAGTTAAGTGACTTGGGGCAAGGGAGAGGGTAGAATGAAGTTAAGTGACTTGCTCTGGTCACCTAGCCATTCCTGAACTCAGGAAGAACTTAAAACTAAGTCTTCCTGACTCCAAGGCCAGTTCTCTATGCACATGCCACTTTGCTTTTTCTTCTTTTCTTGGTCTTTATTGTAAATTTGAAAAAGCAAGCCAGTGAAAGGTAGAGGAATTTTAAGGGTAGCCTGAGAAGATGCTTTTCTGCAACTCACCCAGAAAAGATTGCTTTTCCTGAAACAATCTCATGTTCCTTAATCAAGACTGCTAACCTTCTTCCTGGAAATGACTCTCTAATAGTATTTTTGGGCAGCTAGATGTCCAAGTGGATAGAGTGCTGGGTCTAGAGACAGGAAGATTTATCTTTCTGAGTTTAAATCTATCTTGAGACACTGGGCTGTTTGACCCTAGGCAATCACTTAATGCTGTTTGCCTCAGTTTCCTCATCTCTAAAATGAACTGGAAGAGAAAATGGTAAGCCACTTCAGTATCTTTGCCAAGAAAACCCCAAATGGGTTCTTGAAGAGTCAAATATGACTGAATACCAACAACTAATAGTATTTCAATCCTCAGTTACCTTCTTTGTAGTTCATATACTCATATGAAGTAGATTTTACCTATTGCTTTGTTACTCACCTGTGACCAAAAAAATTCAGCATCCAGAAGTATCTGCAACTCACTGGTGAGTTATAAGTGAAATTGCCAGACACCTCCAGTTTCATTTAAAATTAATACTTTTTAATTGTCCTAGTACATATCTGTCCATCTCTAATGAGAGCATAAGAAGTTTGTAGAAGTAGGAAAACATCTACAATCAATATGATGATCATAGACTCTGGAACAGGAAGATCTGGGCTAAGATTTCACCTCTGAGGTTACCTTGTGACCTTGAGAAAGTCTCTTAAGTTCCCCAGGTTTCAGTTTTCTCATTTATAAAATAAGAAGGTTAGAATAAATTATATCTAAGGTCTCTTCCAGCTTTAAATCTGTGATCCTATCATTTTAGCTCAGTATGGGTTCCCCAGTGTAATTCCCTGTAATTCCACTTCATAACCCTCACTTCCACAACTCTAAGGGACACATTTTTAGTGACTAATGTCTGCAGTCTAGCAGTGGTAAAATATTACATCTTCTCTTGGTAGTGCAATCTGTCCCATCAATTTAGTGCTTCATGTTTTGGATAATGCACAAATAGACTTCCAATTGAGATGGTGATGGTTATAGAACATCCCAGATCTCTCACATATACTCAAACAAATATTTTCAAAAGGCACCAGACCAAATAATGAAGAAATTCAAAGAGAAATAACAGTAGGATCCTTCATTCCAGTTCAGGACTTCAGAAAAAGCCTGAATAAGCAGGTGTGGAAGAGGGGTCCAAGGAAATTAGCATGAACTTAATTGCCCTGAAACCCTGAAGCCCATTACAACATTCTGACCATGTGGAGCAGAAAACTGCAGTGTTTTCACTGGCGGGTTCAGAAATCTTCAGGGATAGGTGGTCATAAACTATAATGTCCTAAGTTAGAATGCTACAGGGTCCCAGATGACCACCTATCCCTTTAGTGGGTACCATAGAGGAGGTGGGGTAAAGTGAGGCAGGAGACTGTGGAGTCCTTAGGAGGACACCTCAGGGAAACTAGAAGATCTTAGAATTCTGACATTTAAGGTTTTGAATCCTCTGGATGCAGTCACACAAGAAAAGTTGGAAGTGAGCAGCAGGAGCACAAGAAATAAAGGTTAGGACTAAACAGAGCTTTGTGACACCATCCAAAAGTCTAGGAGTAAAGGATAGAGTCTGGTTCTGGCAAAAAAATCATATATCATAGATTCAGTCACAAAGGACCTTAGAGATCATTGAATTTTATCTTCTCATGTTATAGATGAGGAAACTGATTCCTCGAGAAGTTAAGTATCCAAACAAAGAATTGAGTCCAGAGATATGTGTAAATAGAAGAAAACAATGAACAAAGAAATACTAAAGGTCAACAGATGGCCAAGTTGTAAACACAGAAGAATAGAGTAATTCCACAGTAAATACAGAGTCTCAAAGGGAAAAAATGGCTTGGCCACAAGGACTCCAAAAGTGGTTGGAAAAAATGAAGGGACAAAAATAATAAGAGTTCTGGGAGAAAGGTTGTGAAGGTGAACAAATATCACAGAGCAGAAGACAGAAAACTTTACCCAAGAGGCAGTCTTCCTGAAAATTAAAATGGAGTAAGTGGAACTCATTGACTTTATGAGAAAATAAGAAATACTATAAGAAAATCAAAAGTCTGAAAAAATAAAAGAAAAGGTAAGATACCACCAAAAATAATTGACCTGGATAACATAAGTCAAGGTGAGATAATTTATAATAAAAATCATCAAACTCCCTGATAATCATGGCCAAAAAAAAAGCCTGGACAACATATTTCAAGAAATCATAAAAGAAAACACCCCAGAACCATTAGAATGAGTAGGATAAGTAAAAAATAGAAAGAATTCACTGATCACCTCTGGATTCAGGGAGGGAATAGATATAAGGAAAATATATTTTAATTTCAAAGAGTTGATCATAATGGGTGATTCAATATTGAAAAAGTGTCAGAAACATTGATCAGGATCTAGGATTAGTACAGAGAGAAGGAATAAATTATTCAATTATAGATTATAAGCACCTTCAGATTTCTTCTCTTTATCCATTCCTTTCTTCTTTATAAAGAGAAGAGTGAGGGAGAAACAAAAAAAATAAGAGACAAAAATAAGAAATAATGGAGAGAAATATAATTAATAATATTAACAGTAAACATAAATAGGATGAATTCATCCATAAAAATGATGAAGGTAGCATAATGGATTATAAGGTAGAATCCAATAATATGATATTTACAAGAAACACACCCAAATTGGGAGCAAACTATTTCAATTATAGATTACTAGTGTTTATAAGATCCCTTTACTTTCTCTCACAACTCCCCAATTCTTTTTTGTAAAGTGGGAGGAAAAAAGAAAAAAGTATTAAAGGTTATGATGGATGGAAAGTCACAATTCACCATTATAACATTGAACATGAATGGAGAGAACTCACCCATAAGATGGGGAAGGGATTAGATAGCCAAACCTAATAATATTTTGTTTATAAGAAACACACTTCAAGCATAACCATTCATCAGGAGTTAAAATAGGGAGCTTGGAAAGATTTTATTATGTTTCAGGTAAATGTTTTAACAGTAAGAGTAATAATAAATAGTGATAGCTAGCATTTATGTGGTGTTTTAAGGTTTATAAGGTACTTTATAAATAGAATGTAGGTGCTAGCTATTATTATCCATATTTTACAGAAAAGGAACATGAGGTAGATAGGGGTTAAGGTACTTGCCCAGGGTTATACATCCAGTAAGTGCCTGAGGTTAGATTTGAAGTCAGGTCTTCCTGACTCCATGTCTAGAGCTCTATCCACTACACTTGACAATGCAACAGTAAAAATAGACATTATTAAAAAGATAAGCAAGGCAATTATATTACGCTTAAAGATACTATATATAATTAAATGATGTCAACATTTAATTATCTATGCACTGATAATGGAATGTATATATGTATATATACCCACATAAATATTTATATCTATACATAAAGTTTGTATATGTATATATGTGTATATAGATATAGATATATACTTAAAGGAAAAATTAGTTAAATTACAAGGAGAGATAGTAAGTCATAATAGTTGTGAACTTCTATGTGCCCCTTTCAGACCTAGAAAATCTAAGAAAAAATTCAAGATAAATAAAAAAATTTAAGAACCTGAATAAAATTTTAGAAAATTAAATATGATGGTTTTCTGGTGATTGTTAATGGGAATAGAAAGGAATTCTATATACATATAGCTAAATTGTGTATGTCATCTTTAAAAAACAGACCATATGACAGGACATAAACCCTCATAAATAAATGCAGAAAATAAGAAACATTAAA